TTATAAATATTGAATATTTGCTTTTATATTAATAAAAATCAATCAATATAAAAGAATTTAATATGAACAAATAAAATTATATATATTATTATAATATGAAACCATAATACTTCCAATATTTTTTCTTTTAAAAACATCATATATTCGGAATGAATTCCATCATGCGGCTCATTCGGTCATGCGGTTCATTTGGTCATGTTTCTCAATGAAGAAGGGTGATGTTCACTTTCATCTAAGATCGAATTTTCAGTTTTTAACAAATAATTAATATAATTTTTTAATCATTATCCTTGAAAAAAAAAAAATCATATATACGGAACATCTAACGTGGTAGGTTGGAAAATACTAGTACGTAAAAGAATGAAAGATGATTATATGCAACTCTCTAAAAAAAACAATAGTTGGATATATAATTTTTTTTTGGGGGAGGCTAAATTTAACAAAGCTAATCACTTCCTCAATCAAAGGTTGATGGTTTCTTCACAATTGTCAAATTTTTCTTGCTAAAAAAATTCAGCATCAGTCACCAAGATTTCAGATACGTCCATTTCTCCGGTCAAATGTTGGGAAGATATATCTCCACAAAAACAAGAAGAAAGAATATAAAAATGCAGAAGACAGGCACAGACAGACGAAGGAGAAAGAGCAGAGCAGCGTCCGTCTCAGTCCAGTCCAAGCGCGTACGTCTATTCTCCCAAGAAAGTCCAATATTATATATAAACAGTAATGCCTACAAATTCATACACATGCCTTCTTTACAGTGCAGCTTTCTTTTTTCATCTTTCTAACTTTGACTGAAGGTAGAAGCCAAACCACTCTGCTACAAGCTTTCGGCGCTCTTTCTTCCTTCTCTCTTTCTCTCCTTCCAGATTTAGCTACGCTACCTAACCCCATTCAACTCTTTTTTTTTTTTTTTTAAATCTTTGTGCCCATATAAACACACAAACAATAGAGTTTAAGACCCTTTTTTAGCAATTTTATATTTTTATCTATCCACATTCCACACCGAGCTTGAAGAACCCCAAAGCAATCGCTCTTTCTTTTGGCTCTCTGTATTCTGTCTATTCACCCAAATCTAGCGACACCCTTTTGCTCCATTAAGCTCAGAAGGTTCTTCTTCTTTATCAGGTAACCCTCTGGCATTTGGGTTTAATTTTTGGTTCCTTTTTAGATCTTTGTTTCCTCTTTGATAATTTTCTGTATTTGGAATTTTGCTTGAAGAGCTCTTTACTACTTTAATGGGAGCAGATCGGGAGGTTTTTGCTTACTATGTTGATTTATTTGGCTTCTGGGTTTTGATTATATGGCGGCACTTTTGGGTTCTCTGCGAGGCACTTGTCTGGGTGCCTTAATTTTACTGGTTTTATGCTTTACTTAGAAATGAAAATTTAATTGTAAAAGGTAACGGGAAGGGCATGGATTTGTATTTCTGTTGCGTATTGTTTTAATAATTGATGCAAAAGTGGTGGTTTTGTGGTTCAGTGTCTTGGTAATTACTGCTAGGGTGGAGATAATTCTTGATACTACATTTTCTCAGTTAGAATTAGAATAGCCTAATCTGGTATTAAATTTGCAGTGGGTATATTCAAGTGCTAGCTAAAATCAAGAATGGTTTTGGTATTAATGACAAAGCTTTTTATTTTTATTTTATTTTGGGTTTTCTTTATGAAAAAGAAGTGTTTTGCGGTTGTGACTTTTCACCGAATATGCAGATTCATGTGAATCTGCACTGATTTTTGGTTCCTATTTATTATGTATTATGATGTGGTGACTAAGAATTGGGACGTGTGTGTGTAAAGTAATTCTGGCTAAATGTGATGCTTAGTCCATTTCACAATCGAAGGACTCTGTTTTATGGATTCACTAAATATTGAATTTTAGGAGAATTGCTACTCTGAATTTCCTGAGGAGCTTACTAGAGAGCAAAAGCATAGTGTTTTGAGTGTCTGAAGTACTTTTTAATAACTTCAATCTTGGTTTTATTCATTTGACTTGTAGATTTTGATGTTGCTTTAGTGTTATTTTTTGAAGATGATAAACAATATCAATATTATTCAAAATGTGATGAAGTATTTTTCATAGTTTGGGACTTAAAAGCTCTGTTTCAGGAACATCTTTGTAATCTCAGTTGGGTTTCTGCTCGGATCCACTTGAATACATTATGGGCGAATATCATAGAAGAAAGTACCGGTTGGTAGTTATCGTATGATACTTGTGGACATTGACTTGTGCATCTTCTATGCTGTCTATTGTTATAGAAAATATGGGCTTACTTTGCAGCCGGAACCGCCATTCCAATGAAGCAGATGCCAAGGAGAATGCACAGGTGAATTATTGTGGACTGATGATGTTGTATGCCTTTTATTGAGTAATACACAGTTAACTCCGTCTGCATCATGTCATTTATACAATTCTTGACCCTCAGTCTAAATGTCATGTTGTGGATTTGCAGGCTGAAGAAATTGAAAGGCGAATTGAACAAGAAACAAGGGCAGAAAAGCACATTCAAAAGCTGCTACTCCTTGGTGTGTGGAAATAAGATTTTTTTTTTTTTAAAAAAAAAAAATTTATTTTTGTTACCTTGATTGACTGCATATCTTAAGTTGTGTGGTTTGCTAGTATGTGAAAGTTCCAAACTCACATTTGATTGATTAAGGCAGCTCATAAAGTGCTAGCATTTTTGGTTTCTTTTGCTTGCCTTGCATCTTCACAATTTTATTTTTATTTTCATCTTCTCATATCTGTGGTGGTACTCTTGTCAATTTTGTTTTCTCCCTTTTGAGGTGGCACCACATCTGATATGGATACCCTTATTGTTGTTAAGGTGCTGGCGAGTCTGGAAAGTCGACAATTTTTAAGCAGGTAAGACATGATGAGAGCCCTATTTCCAATTTTATTTTCATTTATGCCCAAGATGCTGATAGATATATTCTGTTGATTGTACCACAACTTATCTGCAGATAAAGCTTCTATTTCAAACTGGCTTTGATGAGGCAGAGCTAAAGAGCTATATCTCAGTCATCCATGCCAATGTCTATCAGACTATAAAAGTATGCAAACTAGAAAAGGGTGTGTTTGTTGTTTCCTTTTTTTGCGTAGTAGTAGTGTCCAGTGTCACCATGTTAATAAAAAGTATTAGTTCTGTTGTGATATATGTTCTGTAATCCATCATATGAATTGTGCTTAATATGTTACAACAGGTACTATTTGATGGGTTGAAGGAATTTTCTCAAAATGAAACAGATTCTTCAAAATATGTTCTTTCCGGTGAAAATAAGGTTTGAATTTCTCTTTTCATTTTCTTTTATATTATCTTTATAGGGTTAAAGTACACATGTTTTACATTGCTGTTCTTGTTTTCTTCTTTGAAATAAATTTACCTTTTTCTTGGTGTTTTCAGTAGTTAAAACAATCTAAATTAATGTTTCTGTTCTATGTCAGGAAATTGGAGAGAAACTGTCAGAAATTGGAGGCAAGTTGGAGTATCCCCGTCTCACTAAAGAACTTGCACAGGAGATAGAAACTTTGTGGAAAGATCCTGCCATTCAGGTGGCTGTTACTTCTTAGTTGTGTAGAAGGTTAATTTTGAATGAAGCATTAAAGCATTTACTGACTCCATACTTGTAGGAAACTTATGCCCGTGGTAATGAACTTCAAGTCCCAGATTCTGCCCATTATTTCATGGAAAATTTGCAAAGATTTTCAGATGCAAATTATATTCCAACGAAGGTACCAGGAATCTGTTTTAGGGTTATTCAAAAAAAATAAGTACTGGGGTTATTACTGAAATTGTGTCAACATCCCCAGCTCCCCACTTCCGTTTTGAGATTATTTAACATCTTACATCAGATTGCCATTTAACCTCTCAGTGAACTTACTCTCAAATTTCAAGAAATGTGTTTCGGAAATCAATTCTGTCAACCAGTTTCTTTGTCCTCTTTCGTACTGCAGGATGATGTTCTTTTTGCGAGAGTCCGTACAACTGGCGTTGTAGAAATCCAGTTCAGGTGAGTATTTCTCATTTTAAATGTTTTGTTGTTTTCAATCAGGCTGTTTAAAAATGTCCCCCTTCCTCTTGACCTATCACTTGTGCAACATGGTTAACATAAGAAATAAGTTAGCCTTAGCAGTGGACCTATGATTTTGCTAAGCAGCTATCACAAAGTAGTTGTATCAAATGCTTTTTGTTGTTTTATACTTATAATTGACACGATCTTTCGGACATTTCATTAAAGCAATTTAAACAATGGTGGTAGTGTGTCATTTGCCCATGATTACTCTGCTTGAGTTTGATTAGTGACTTGGTGTCGGCTATGATCTTGGCAGCCCTGTTGGAGAGAATAAGAAAAGTGGTGAAGTATACAGACTCTTTGATGTTGGAGGCCAGAGAAATGAGAGAAGGAAATGGATCCATCTTTTTGAAGGTGTTACAGCTGTAATTTTTTGTGCTGCCATTAGCGAGTAAGATGATCATTGCCTTGTAATTAGTTACAGCATTATCATTCCAAAGAATTTGGAAGTTGATATTGGTTTTCAGTATCATTACAAGTTTTCCCCTTTGGTGCTCATTAGACTTCCTCTAGGAGGAAGAGTCTAAGATTCAACTCCCCTCCCCACAACTAGAACTCTTACCTGGTGATTTTGATTTTTCAGTTACGATCAAACTCTCTTTGAGGATGAACAAAAGAATCGGATGATGGAGACAAAGGAACTCTTCGATTGGGTCTTAAAGCAACCATGTTTTGAGGTTTTTCTTTGTGCCCTTCAGCATGTGTATTTTTCTTAGGGCATGGACCTGTGCTTGTATGTTTGCCTGTGTTTAAAGACGTCTGCAATTTCCATTAAGATTGATTTGGTTTCTTTTGATGCAGAAAACTTCCTTCATGCTGTTCCTAAACAAGTTTGATATATTTGAAAAGAAGGTTCTTAAAGTAAGGCCAACATGACGGTACATTTAATAGCTTTCAAAAAGTAGCATCAATCTAGCTTTTTGATGGTAAAGTACTTTCTGCAGGTACCGCTGAATGTATGCGAGTGGTTCAAAGATTATCAGCCAGTTTCAACAGGAAAACAAGAGGTCGAACATGCATATGAGTAAGCAATTTATCCTTATTCCTACTTTAACCTTTGGCAGGGAAATCCTTCTATCACATGATCGTATCGTTTCGCTTTCTCCCTCCATTCAGGTTTGTGAAGAAGAAATTTGAAGAGCTTTACTTTGAGAGTAACACCCCTGACCGTGGCCGGATATTCAAGATCTACAGGACAACTGCCCTAGACCAGAAACTTGTGAAGAAAACTTTCAAGCTTGTAGACGAGACCTTAAGGTTAAGACGACGAAATCAATACGAAGCTGGCTTATTGTGACCACAGCAAAACCTTCATGTTCATAAAACGAATAATGTATTTGGATTTTGGACATTTACAGTCAGTAGGAACACTAAACACCCGATCTGATCACTTCTGGCACATCACATTTTCTTCACAGGGCCGAAGTTTTGGTTTTCCATTTGTTGATCAATTATCACACGGTTAAAAAATCCATTTTTTTGCACCCCCATGAATCTAGTGACTCTTGGTTTCTCCAGACAGTAGAATCTTTCTCATCTGAGAACATGTTTTCTTGATTGTTTTGGTTCATTCTGATTCTATCAAACAAAC